GTTCTTCAAAATTCAAGGTTTTTCCCTCTTGAAAACGGTCAGGTAATTTTTTACCATTGTTATTCAGTAAATAGGCCTTATGTGTGTATACATACATAAAAATTTAAAAAAAATGAGTAGTTGCATACAAATTTTCCATAAATCCCAAAAAGAAAGGGTGGTCCCGGGGTTCTCCCCCTTGAAAATTTTGATTCCTAGATGGCGGGAAATGAGCTTTCCCGACATTTGAAGTGTGTTATAATGACTTTTATGTTCAAAATTCTAATTTTCTTAATGTAACAAAAAAAAAAAAAACCAGCTCACGGGTCCTGAAAAGGTAGGTCTAGAATTCTTTTTCTTTCCCCCATTTTTTTTTTTTGTGTTGCCCAAAGGAGGGGTCAGGACCCATGACCCCCCTAGGGAGGGGTCAGGACCCATGATCCCCTCCTCCCAGATCCGCCAATGTGAATTGCGAGAAAATGTAAGTCGGTCGGGTACTGGATAAACATTCTCTTTCCCATCCTTCTCCTTCTTCCCTCCTTTTTTTTGCATTTCCGATGATACAAAGTTCTCCAGACATTATATATTTTTTGCCAAAAAGTGAGGGGGCCCGGGCCCCCCGGCCCCCCCGGTTCCGCCGCCCATGACCCTAACCTGGAAGGTCAGGATGTCTGGCTAACATTTTCACATGTTAAACTCAATAATATTAGTGTTAACAGGTGTTTTTTTTTCCCATAAATTATAAACTGTATTAACAATCAACATACAGCTATATTTTAGACAATCTGTCACCCACAAAAATGAAGAAAACCCATAAACTACATGAATATTTGTATTGCTCGAATAAAAGAACCACATATGTTATCAACTTTCATTAATTCACATCCAGATTGAAAAATCAATGATTTAGAGATGTTTTACAACAAAAATCTTCATATTTGTTGCAAGAAATTTAAGAATCAATACAAAGACTCTATCAATACTCTGAAGGTTAATTGGGGAGGACAATTTCTTTCTCTGATTCCAATTACTGTATCCATTGAAAGCTAATTACTTTCTAAATTAAGCAAATCAATTCCAATTTTGTTAGTTGGTGCAGTATATCTTTGCTGAACTTTGGAGATCTCCTGAGCCGTTGGTCCCGTGTTGGCCCATGTGCATGTTAAAGAACACTGTATACTCTTCGGAAAAAGAGTATGAGATTATCTCCCGGTGTTCTGCCCAATTCACCACCAGTTTGAGTACCCCACTAGGAACAAATCTTTGGACTTATAGTGGGTTATCTGGAAGAAATACTCCTATCTCAGGGGCGTCGGAAGCTATTTTTATTGCATTAACATGTGACTTCTTTTCATTAGTTTTGTCTTTGTCTATAGCTCAAAACACGCACTATTCTATTATATCAATCATTCATACTTGTACTAAATATATCATTTAACCATTCATGCTTTATCATTCATGTTTGTCACAATGGGATTTCATAAATATTAACGTATGTACAAGTAATAATAGTTAGACATTCCTTTAACAGTAGAAATGATATATTTAAAAATGATTTTTTACACTAGCCGATTATTACCATACGGCCTGCTCAGTATGTTGCAAAAAAATACTCTAAAAGAATTGACTACGCTATGCTTTGTACACATGTATATTGGGCGGCCAGGGCCATGTCATAGTAATTTTTTTAATCAAAAAAGTGTAAATCGATCAGTTGAATTGAATAATAAGTATCTATCAGTTAATAAGTATCTAATCAAAATTGCTGATTTTCCCTGGCGTTTGTCCTACCACCCTGACCGGGACTGTTGTAGGGCCTGAGTAGAACCCCTGTAGAAACGTACAGTACCTTATTCTGATATTGACCCTCCACCCAAAGTTGATGCCCCTGATTCTTATTGCTCTATTGAGTACTTATCACCTGGAAGATCTGTCCATATGATGGGAATACCTACATACATGGTCCTCCTGCCATTAATAAACCAAAACTTTACTAATTAATAATACTAACTAGGCCTAATATACTATAGTATCCCAAAATTTGACTTAATCTGCGAACAAATTAAAAAGAAGCAGATTTTAACTGATTTGTGTAGGGATACATACCAGGGTACACCAAAAAAAGTTAGGTGGACTAGGGGGGGGGATTTTTTATGAGGGGTCAAAGGTCATTGACACTGGTCTAAAATTTATCTCTGGAACACTCTATGGTATATGGTTGATCTTGGTGTCAAAATGCACAGAATTATACAACAAATTAAAAAATATATAACAGGATCCTCAGAACCAATCCATGACCTTGGAAACTGAGGTCAAAGGTCAAAATGGAAAAAATTGTATTTTTAGTCACTAAATTGGCATATATCATTTTAAAATATTACAATAAATGTGCTTTCAACTGACTTGTGTAGGAATACATACTAGGATAACACCAAAACAAAGTAAGGGGTATAGGAGAGTGGGGAAATCATGTTTTTGGCGTTGAAGGTCATTGACCCAACCTAAAACACTAAAATGTGTATCTTGGGAACACTTTATAAAATATGGTTGATTTTGGTGTCAAAATGCACAGAATAATACAAAAACTAAGAAAATAATATAAAAGGACCCTCATAACCAATGCATCATCTCAAAAAATGAGGTCGAAGTTCAAAATGTTAAGAATTGATATTACAAAAATGGCATTCAGTAAATGATTATTTTTTTACTCATCATTTTTAAAGCTGGTTTTAAATAGTTGAACATACATTGTAAATAGGAATAGAAATTACTGCTTTAAACTTACTGTAACTATAGATAAAATCAAATTATTAAAGATGTACAATCAGTCATGAAAGCGAAAATTCTAATTTCACATTTGAATTTGTATATTTAGGCAATTTATTAACTTCAAATTAAAAATCTGAATAAGAAAAAAAAATCTCCTCAATGTTCGGACAGATTCTGTATTCATTTTTTTTTAATGTCTGTAACTCAGTAAAAACTACATTTTTCTATCTATTTTTCGTTGGAAGCTAATATTTTTGTTTGATCATTTTAATAAACTATATATAATTTTATGTAAATTATTTTGAGGTATTTTCCTGTCTTTTTGACTGATGACAGTACATCTTTAACAAATAAGTATCTAAATTAGTCGGCTTCCTCTCCCGATTCCTCTTCATCACTAACTTCGTCTGACAGCTTTCTAACTTCTTTTGACTTTCTAATTTTTTCACAGATTGGCCCAAATTTGGGTTAATTTTGGGATACTACTAGCAGTCTGTTATTTGAAAATCTAACGAATTCACCTGGCTTAATTAAAAAGACATTTAATAAGTTTCCTAAATAATGCATAGCATATTGTACCCTGTGTCCCTGCATATTTATAACACATGTTAATTTAATTAGGCCACATCATTTTATATGTATTTCACAATATCTGTCAACTCGTATAAATATAATAGGTGCACATTCCTTGTTATTAATATTGCATTATATACACTAATATATAATTTTGTTCCATGCTTTTAAATTACTGCACATTTATCATTGTTTTCTTTTATTACAGATGTTGTCTCATAAGCAGAGACATATTTTGGAGGTAGCTCAACCAAGTCCAGATGCAAAGACTTTGCAGGTAAAAGTAAACATCATGATCTTCCATCTATCGCCCACTCACCTTAATAACAAATTTTAAATTGTATTATCAATACAAAATAATACTTGTTTTTTCACTTTCTAATCATATTTATTCTTATTAAAAAGTGGTGTGTTCCCTGTTATTATGAATTAGTATTTAATATGATTATGATATTAAAGAAAAATATATGAAGACTTATTTCTGCATTGAATATACAGTATTTATTTTTGTATTATTTATTTTAAATATTTATTATGTTTCATTCACTTTCATTTTTATACATTCAGCAATTAAAAACTAAGTCTGAAATGGCTAAGGAATAAAGTAGCTTTAATTGTGAATCCAAATCCTGTTTGGCACAGGATTTGAACCCACAAACTTGTGGTTGGAATGCTCCACTACTTAGTTCTAAGTGTTCTTATTTCATACCATTAATAATAATTTTTTTAATGCAAAATATTTTTCATTGTACTTTTTAATTTCAGAATGTGATTGAAACATTTGTTGAAGCACAAAAAACAACATTATCTCGAATGGCTGCCCTCGAGTCTGAAATAGATTCCAACAAACAACACATCGCTACGCTTAAGAATGAACTTAATGCTGTTTGTAAACGAGAATATGATGATGAGGTACATTTTAATTGTTTTGAGTTTAATCGGCAATTCAACAACAGGATGCACATCTTTGCTCCCAAACATAGTGTGTGCATTTACTGCGGCATCGACAATCTGATTTCTTTTGTTTCTTTTGACCACGAACCACCACAAACTTGTTGCTTTAGCATTTAGCATTTATCTGTTTAGACATTGCCTATGAAGCTAACTCTCTTTTATGTTTGTGTTTGTGTTATAAAATTGAATAAATTTTAAAACAGATAGAGCCCTTTGTAAAACCAAATAAAGAATTATTTGCAGACAGTACTCTACATTAGTGTGAATGTCACGTAATTCTAATATTTCTGACAAAAACTGAGTGACAGGAGTAGTTTCTAAATCAAACCATTTGTTCTGCTGATGTGGCTGCTGATTTTACATAAAAGAAGATTTTCTTTTTTTCATTTTAGGAAGTGATGCTGTCTGAGGAGAGTTTCCATGACATAAAAAGAAATCATCCAGAAAGGTCATTTGGAAGGTTGCGACCTTTATTTGAACCTGAAAAAAGTTCCTTAGAAGCATTTGTGCCTCTAACGTGAGAAAATATCTTTTTCTTTTATTGATAAAATTTTTTAATTTTTATTTTGAATTACATTTACAAAGTGCTCAAGTAAAAAAACAAGAAGGCAATAAATGATGTTGACAAAAACAATAAAATTGTTGATGCATGTGTGAGTATGGAAAAAACTTATGATGAATCCAGCATAAAGCCCAATTCAGACGGCGTCATTGAATGCAGCCCAACATGATTTGTTGTCACGTTGGGTTTGTGGAAGTTAAACACGGAAGCGATAGCTCTCCGTCGGGGACACAGTTGTGTCGTAGAATATTAAACATGTTTAATATTCTCACAACAAACTAAAGGCTGTTCCCGACAATAAATCACGCTTTGGACTGGGTCACAACGCTGTCAGTGGCGTAAGGCTGGGGCCGGGGGACCTTTGTCCTCTGAGGTTGGGGGGGGGGCCACTCTACATCCCTGTCACCAATTCCATTGTGAATTTATCATTACGGCACTTCTAGATGGCCGATGGCACCCAAAGACTTAAAATTTGAATAGCTCCTTTATATTTCCATTTAAAAACATTTAAATTTTGACAGACTTAAGGGATTCAGGTTGGCTGTAACCCCCAACTTAATCTACCACTGGCTATAATATGATGTACATACAGTATGTCCTACAGCCGATGTCAGAGACACATTAGGCTGAACAGTATCAAAATTGCCCTTTTGTGTCTGGTGCTAGATCGAGGACCATATGGTTAGGGGCCCCTTCTTTGGGCCCCTAAGTCTGGAGGGACCTGCGGACAGCTGCACAAGAGCACATAGGCATTACACCACTGAACGCTGTCTGAGTTGGGCTTTAATGACAGCTGTCAGCTATAGCATGTAGTGATTTTATGGAAATCAGGCTAATTAACACCTCAGGCTTTCATATATTAATATCTTTATTACAGGGAGGAGCCAGACTATAGCCTGAAATTTACTACTACTAGTCCATCCAAATCCTTCCTAATGCATCCTGACAAGTAAGTTTACTCTTATTCATAGGTTAAACTTCTAAGCTTCAGTGCAACCGCCTGGTTTCAACTCTAAGTACTGCTTTACCCTGAATTAACTCTTGTGCCCTGATGGTTCATTTAGTGGGAGCTCTATTTTGTGCTAGTTTTAGAATTTTCTCCGTTAGAAATTAATCTTCTTTCCTTGGAGACATAAAGGCTAGTACAGAGAAAGAATAATAATTAAGAATCGAAATAAGGAAATTACAGTATGGCCTCAATAAGAGAGGCTCTTTCTTGTAAGGCATTGATGCTCAAAACCATCGGTATTAGTTGGATATAGTGATGTGAAACATAGATGCTGTGAAATGTCATCTTGTGACTAGAATAGAAGAAAAAATGATTCAATTCTTTTTTTTTTAAGTGTCCGTATGTCATCTTCACCGAGACGATCAGAAAGGAAGGTCGGACAACACAATGTGAGACACAGGGATGAATATTAGGAGGCTCTCACTTTTCATTCTTAAAATATCAATGGTTACTGGTAGATGAATTCCGACTCATACACATGGAAATGCAATGAATATCCTGTTTTAATTTATTTGTAATTGGTTTGAAAAATGTAAATAGAAAACTTTATTATTTTTTTTTTATCATCGATGTAAATATTTTATAAACCTTTTATATCATTCCTTTGTATACTGTATATATATTTATTATTATTTATCTCTATTTTTCATATCACTGAATTCATAAGGAATATTTGATTAAATGTTGAATTGGAAATCCAAATATCTCTTGACATTTTATTATTTAAATAAATTTATGCAAAATAAGACACTGTATATAATGTTTTATATTTAATTTCATAAATGTATGAAGGTACCTTTTCTTGTTTGTGTAATTTCCAAAATGAAATAAAGCAAAAAGCAAAACCGCACATGATAACAAAACTCAATGCTGCAAAGTTCTTAAGTTTTTTTGTTGTATTTGTGTTGTTTTCTGACATTCTGAGAATTACTATGTGCATGGGAACACAAATTCAAAGTGTTTGTCTTCTGATTAAAGAAAACTTAATGTTTTATACCACGGATGGATCCATTGCATATTTCGTGAATACTTAATGGGATGAACCGATACCAGTTTCCTTATAGGAACTTCCCTCGACAATAATGGACTCGTCCGACCGAGGCGCGTACCACACATTCATGTTAAGAAAGTATAATACATACTCCAAGTATTGAAATACACGCCATCGTGTTGGGATTCAATATTTCGACATTAATTATGTCATCATCAGGAATCATCAGGAATTCATGTTACGTAACGAGATTTTTTGTGTTGGGGAATGGTGGATGGGGATACTGTACCAACATTTTCAGATTAATTAGCACCAGGCCTGTATGCAGAATTTTCAATGGGGAGGTGCATTTGCGAACGAAGCGGACCTTAGGCTGGGGAGCCTAGGACCCCCGCGGGGGTGTGTGCGAGGCCCAGGAAGCTCCGACAAATTCGTACTTTGAGCGCCTTATAAATGTATTTCTATTCTATTTTAAATTTCTATTTATTTGGCTGTAGGGATCTAAATTTGTAACTTTTTATGTCCTTTTCATCATTTAATTGTTCATAATGGATCCATCTCCAATCACTGGAGCTGATATTGTCCAACAAATTTCCTACCACAGTTATAAATCAACAGCTTGAAGAGCTGGAAAATTATGCAATGCATACTATAGCTAGTAACTATAGCATTGAGAAACGTTGTTACTGAATTAAGAGGATATAAAAAATGGACTTTTGAAATTTCCCGGTCTAGTTGGGGTTTGGGGACAAAGCCTCCGACGCTCCATCAAAGTTGCATTTTGAGAGCCTTATAATATAGGATTTCTGAAACCCATAATTTCTGAATATTCTATTTTAATTTTTCATTTATTTGGGTGCTGTAGGGACATGAAGAAGTAAAATGTGTCTTTTACATCCGTAGGCCTGCAGATAAAATTGTTCATAATGGATCAATCTGCAATCACTGTAGCTAATAATTTCCAACCAATTTCATACCACAGTTATTAAAAATCAATTGTTAGAAGAGCTAGCAAAAATGCAATGCATACTCTAGCGTTTCACGATAATCGGAAATGATATTAGTGTTTATGATATGTTTTAAAAAGTGGACTTTGAGTGTCCAGGGCTTTGGGGGAAAATCCCTCGGATTCTATTTCTCAAACCCAGTCGTGAATGTTCTATTTAAATTTTAATTATTTTGTGTTTTTAGGGACCTAAAGAAGTACCGTACCGTTTTATGTCCTTCACATCTGTAGTCCTATAGATAAAATTGTTTATATAGATCAATTTGCTGATCATTTCAATAAATTTCATACCACAGTTATTAAAAGTCAACGGTTAGAAGAGCTGGCAAATATAAAATTATAAAATATAGCATAATAATTAGGAACAATTTTGTTAAATAATAAGTTGAAAAATGTAGACGTTTTGAAATTTGAAGGTACGTCCAGTGACCCTCTGCACCCCTCCCCCTTCCCGCCCGCCTGTGGGGCTTAACACATACCTCAGGCACACTATGGGAGTATGATTTTCTCATGCCGCTGAGAGTGGTTGATAAGCTAATATTTTCAGCGATCCTAAATAGAAGTTTTAATTTAGGCCAAATGTGGTATGGTATAAAATACATTTCATGATGGCAAAAATTTAAAGAGTGGGGGGGGGGGAAGGGGGTTAAAGTCTGTTTAGCTCCTCTTAACCTTCCTGATGGCTTCGGGGAGAGCTAGCAGTATATAGTGTAACGATGGCACTGAAAGTAGTGTAGTGACAGTGTAGCGATTTTACGGAAACCATTCTATAGATAATAATAATATCAATAATAATAATGGTAGATTTTTTTATCGCATATTATTAAGCCCTCTATGCGCTTCACATTATCATTACTCCGGTCATTGGATTACACGCCTATGAAATACAACTCAAGCTCCCTGGGGGAGTATTCCATAACGTTTCAGCAGCTACAGCAGTGCATTTTGAGCATTTAACCTTAGGCCTACCAGTTACCAACTTTACTCCTGTGTAGAACGAAGCAATGCAGATAAATTGCCTTTCCCGTGGACACGAGAAATGCACAGAGAGGGATTGAAACATCATTGCAAACCAATTAATGTCAGATATGATGTCTGCCATTTTCAGTTGCGCTTTCATATTTAATTTGATTTAATTCATAGATAGTACAATCTATTGTTAAATAAATTAATTTGGCTTGTCAATGTGTACTGCTGTAATGGCTAGAATTACCTATGCTCAATGCCATTTCCAGGAGTAGTATTGTTGAAACGTGTAAGTGAAAGGGTGTTATCCCACCTTCCCCTAGTTTTTTAAATAGATCCGTGTCTTACCAACCAGGTTTTTTTTGTCAAACAGCTTTTCAATGTCTTAATCAGTTGTACAACATGTCATTTTTTCCCCTCCGGAGACTGGATTATTTTAATGCACTTTATCTTGTTTTGTGTTTTCCCAGCAACCGTACTCTTTATACTTACAGATAGGCCTACGGTAATTGTAATTGGCTAATCTAAATTCCACTAAAAGTGTACTTATTATTATAGATGGGGTTTGTGATTTTAGTAAATATTGATTTACAGATCTTTTTTATTTATAGATCTTTGCTTATAAAATTTCAGCTATTGTTAACTTAAATGTTTGGTAATTGAATTTCCGCCTCTTTTCTGTGTCAGGCAGTTATTTTGCGTCATTTGTTTGTACGCCTTATTTTCTTCTATACGTTATTGTTAATCCATATTCTACTAAAAACTTGTAGATGTTTAATGTTTGATAATTAAACACCAAAGAAGCAAAACGTTAACAAAGAGTTTAGTGCATGATTGTATCAAATATCAAGATAAAACCGTATTGAAAAGGTGCTAGACGATAAATTCGAGTCCAGTTCCCGTATTACATTCTTCTCTTGAATTGTCATTTGAAATTTAACTCTGCCTGCTATCAACCATGATATACTTCGCTTACATCTGCTTGGCTTTCGGTTTAATTTGCGGAGGATTTGGTAAGTCAAGTTAATTATAGAGGACTGTACACAAAACTGTCTTGAAAGTGTCTACTGGAATCTGATAAATATATGTAATATATAGTAAATAATATTCAAATTAGATTTGTTGCGTAGCACCGTAA